AGCACAGTGCGGACACGCGGGCAGTACTCAGGAAAACATAAAACCTGCTCACATATAAGGGAATCTTTATAAAATTCCAATTACGGCCGGTTTGCTACCCAAGACTCCCTAAGAGGCAAGAGAGACTTTCCGAGAGGCCCCGGCTAACACAATTACAACCCCTTTTATGAAGAGGCATATGCTAGAAAGCTACATTTATTTGGCCGGTGTATTTGTAACTGCTCAAAAGGTTATTGTCTCACAAAATCTAAAACACAAATTACTGCTTATGTGTGCCACGCTCTAACAAGGAATTATATTCGGGGTCATTTTTAATTCCTCACTGATTGACTACAATATTATAGGCACTACAGCAGAGGGACTTCATTTACATTCTGCTTTCCTAAGAAGCATCGGACATGCATGCAAAATATTCACTCAGATATATACCGTAAATAAGCAGCAAATGCAACCACCCCTGGGAAACCTAACAAGCCTAACAGCCAAGTCTTCACAAGTGGTTAATTCATTTGTACAAAAAAAAGAAAAAAAAAGAAAAAATCATTTTACTTCCATTGTTTGTTACCATCATGTTTTAATTTCAGAATCAGGATCAAATATTTCCCTTTCAAACTATGAATGATACTTTTTACAAAAGAGAACATTTACCTCCATAAAACAGGTACACAGCAATTTCCACACACACACTCCTGTACCCAGAATCCCATGAAATCAAGGATGTCTGAAAATGTCAGGCTGTATCCTCAGACTCCTGCACCCTTCTATCAGGTGCTAAGAAAAAGATCCTGCTCTTGCAAGGATCCTCTAAATTATTTTCCCCACTTAAAGAACATGAGATCCTAGTTTGATATGCAGCAGTCCCTCTAAAGAAGAGTATTTTATTTAACCCCAGCTGGCAGAGCACCAGAAGGACACCCCGTGCACCACACTCTGGCTCAGTTAATGGTCTCTGCACTCTGCCAGGGGGAGGTCACCCCTACAGGAGGGTGTTTCTATTGCCCACAACATCTTCTCACCCCTGCTTCATCTCGCAGAAGGCAACAGCAGGAGTGAGAGGCCTGTATATCCAGGGAAAGTCCAAGAAACCTTCCCTGCAGCTTCTGCTTAATGGGACCTCTTCCTGCCTCGGTCAGGACATTCAAGGTCATGTTTCTTTGCCAGTCTGAAAATCCCAGCAAACAGGCAACTGAAGGGAGGGCTCAGCTGCATCCTGGAAGGTTACTCAGATCCAGCATTCCCTCCCTGATGGCAATCCCCACACAACAGCTGCCATCTCCAAGCCACTGAGATCTCCACACAAATATTTACCTGCTGGGATTTCCTGCAGGTGCAGAGCACTTATCCTCATCTCTCCTAAAAAATACAACAAACTCATTCACAAGTAAGGATGATTTTTTTTTTTAAGTTGAAAACTGCCTCCATTGGGTAACATAAGGGTTCCAGCTAGATGCAAATGCCTGCACAGGCTGCCAAAACAAGAGGCAAATCCCAGCGCAGCCGCCGCAAGGCTGTTTGCTACCTGAGTTACAGTCACGCGCCCGCCTGGCAGAACACAGGGAAAGGGAAACAAGCGGGGAAATTGCAATAAAACCTGACAGTAACATCTTTAAAGATGCTTTATTCATCCCTCTGCTGTTCAAGGCTTTTTTAAGATGAAGGACTAGAAATTAAAAATCCCTTTGCTGCTTGCTCCTGCAGTAAGGGACAAGACTAGATCAATGTTTGGAAGAGACTGTATAAAGGAAACCATCTCCATCAATCTCATCCCTTCCCCTGGTAAAGGTAATTAATTTACACTTTCTCAGTGAATGCAATTACTTCTACTTCACACTCACTGTTCCTCTAGGAATGGGCTAATTGGCATTTGCTATGGAAACCTCAATAGCTGTGTGCTGCTGGGAGAGCTCCGCTTCCGACCACRTCCCCGCGTCCTCGCCGGCGCAGATGGGCCCGTCTCCGCAGCAGGGCGGGCTGTGGATGGGCAGCACCACGAGCTGCGGTCACCCCTTGGGGCCGGGAGCCCTTCACCCACACCCATCAAGACAAACCAGCACCCACGCCACCAGCTCGCCAGGGTTTGGGGCAGCCTGGCTGTGCCCTCAGCCCCGCGGTGCCCCAGGAACAGCAGGAAGGCTCCTCCTTTCATAGGGACCCAGGCAGGGCAGCGGCATCCCGCTGCATCCCGCTGCATCCCACCTCATCCCACCACACTGGGACAGGGCAGCTCTAACATTCAGGGGACAAGCTACATATAAAACCAGAGCAGGACACATAAAACACAAGTACCAAAGCCAAGTTTTTAACCAAAGGCATTAGGGAACCAACCACAACTGAGTGCCGGTGCCAGGATACAGCTAATAGGAAGAACAAATGCTTTCCAATGCCGCCCATGGCAATAGTCATCTATCCCGGGCTCAACCCTGAATTTTTAGCGGCAGCAAACGTTTCTGTGAAGCCTCCTACACTTTTCTGAAGTCTGGGAAAATAGAAAATAAAAATAAAAAAGAAATTAAATTTAAAAAGGCTGCAGAATAAAATACGTAGAATGCTTAGAACGTCCCTGTGCTTGCAAAAAACGTCTCTCTCAGTGACTCAGAAACCTAAATTTGTTTTTCCAGGAAAACTAAAAAAAAAAAAAGAAGAAAAAAAAAACAAAAAAAAAAAGTAATTAAGCTGAAATGTTAAGAACTGTATTGATATTTTCCAGGAAGGAAAGCTTAAAATAAACAAAGAATATCCATCCACTGCACATATACTGATGAGAATAACAAGACAATTCAGCTAAGTGCAAAAAAAGCCCCACAAACCACTAAGCCAGCCCCATTCCCCGAGGCAGCCGCTGCCAGAGCCGCAGCTCCCCGCGCTGGGCACCAGCCCCCAGGGCCACGCGGAGGGGCTGGCTCACACTGCCCGTTCCTGACAGGGGACAAGAGGCTGCTTGCTTTGATTACAGCATTTTACAGTTAGCAACACACCTACAAAATTTATGTTCCCATTCTACAGCCGTAGGCAAAATTAATTTTCCTTTCAAGCCTGAGTAATGTCTTCACTATCCCTTCCCTTTATCGCAGGCTGCGGAGTCACCACAGAGACAGAAGATGTGTGTGTTTTATTACTTGGAACATATGGATCTGCTCACATGAGTCACAGCCACATCAATTAAAAAAACAACAACAACAACAACAATACAGCCGTCCCCTGGCATTAGCCGTGTCAGGAGAGATTCCTAATCTTTGGCAAGGTTCTGTAGTTCTTGCATGATGCCCATATAATCTGCTACTACCAGCTATTACCAAGGGCAATGGGGACCAGCCACAGCTGGCAGAGGTGGCCTGGCCTGGCCTCAACCCAGGGAATGGCTGCAAAGCCACTAAATGATGGGAGACACCAGGGAATGGCTGCAACGCGGCTAACGCAGCAGGAGGACATCGGCTCTTGCTCCCTGGACGTGCGGCAGCTCCTCGGCCAAGCACAGCGGCAGCAAGGTCAGAGCTGCAGCCCTACAATGAAGCAGAGGGCTGTGCTGTCAAAAGATGCTTCTTCTTCATTTCTTCCACAGCATTTAGAGGGGGAAAAATATATGTTGATAAAAACAAAAATGGGATCCTGTGATTTCCAAGCCTCTATCTCCAGGCTAGACAATTCATATCGGGCAAGAAACCCATCACGTTTTGCTCTTGTCCATCAGGCATCCCAACCCTGGCTGCATCCTGGCAGTATCAGCCATGCAGTGCATGCGCAGGGCTCATGGGCTGGACACGTGCTTTTTGCCACTTGCATTTGCACAAAGGAAATGAGGTCACTACTCCTAGGAACAGACCGTATTCAGGCTACACAGATCGCTTGACAGTTTGCTTTGCTCCTGCCCTGCATAGCCAGCCAGTCACCTCCATCATACTTGTCTGTCATGTAACAAAAAGAGCTCGAAATAAAATAAAACAGGCTCCTATGAAGAGCAGGTAGCATGCAGGAAACATGAAAAAAGCTATAATCTCTCCTCATGGATCTCATATATCTTTCATTTGGGAAACAGTCATGAAGTGCTCTTCTTTTCAGACCTCAGCTCCTTCACCTAATCTACCCTCTTCCCATCTCCCTTACATTTCTCAAGCAGGCAGACTAGTTAGCTTATGCAACTAGTTAGCTCAAGTTGCATAAGGGCTACCTGGATAACAGGATGAAATGTCACTGTCTGGGGAGCAATCAGTATCCTCTACTCATACTGCAAGTATTATACAGTTGAGTTTCACAAGAACATTTTGTACCACATCTTGAAAAAGGAGATACTATTCTTCAATTGATGAAAGACAAAATACAAGTTGCATACGTGCTAATTTATAGCGATGAAGTTTGCATTCATTACTGTAATGAGCACAGCATAAAGCTCATAATCAACATTTACGGCAGATGTCGAGAGGAATCCAGAGGCAGAGAAGATATATGTACTCTTGTCGTGCTTGCTGACAAAGATCTTCCAACCTCCTAAAATCCAAAGCAAGAGGCAGGGCTTTTTCTTCCTACAAATCCCCAGTGCATTTCAACACACAAATTAGTGAGCTCGTGCTGCATTTCAGCTACAGGATAGATAGAAGCACAATGTTTTCACCTCCTTACCGACAAAGGCAGAAGTTACGAGCATAATTATATCCAGTTGGCAAACAGAGGATCCAAGCAGATAACTAATTAAATTCCTTTTCTGTAGAGTAAGGTGAAGAAGAGGAAAGGAAGAAAAAGACTATAATTCTTCACCTGAAACAAAGTTAAAACACCATAAAGCATTTCCTGCAGTCTAAGAAATCAAAGATAGGTAACAGTTAAATGGTATCTTGTCAAATGAAACCCAAAGCAACAAATGGCTGCTAAAAAAAAAATAAGAAAGAGGTAACTGGAAGTTTGTTTCATTCCAAGCCCTTGCGGAGCAGTGAGAAGAGCCATGGAGCTGTAGCAATGTTATTGTGAATGAACATTATCAAGACATCTACAGTGGAAACAAGCCTTACCTTCTGGTAACCTAGGAGCAGCATGGATGGAGTTGGGGTCCCCATCTTCCTCAGAATGGTAACGAAAGAGTGACTGTGACTGCTTTTGGGTTGATTGACTACGGTCTTCCTTTAGAGCAACAGGCGGAGAGGTTGTTGCACTGAACTTCACCTTAGGGAAAGCATTACTTTCRTGAGCTTCTCGGGCAGATTTTGCCCAACTTGGCTCTGTTAAATTCATCTCTTTCAAGCCCTGAAGCAAGCTGTTCCCTGGGTCTTCTTTCCGTGCATGCTTCTTCGTTTTTGAGTGRGGAGCTCTTTCTGGTTCACTCCTCTCCTTGTCCCCTTGCTTGCCCTTTGGTCTCCTCTCCAGCTCTCCCGGGGGCCTGGTTGTCCCTGGCCGAGGTGTGGTGTGCTCCTGAGGAGCACTCGTAGTTACTGGGGCCTCTTTACTTGTCACTTGCTTGGGAGACGCAGCAGTGGTGCGAGGCACCCGCCTTCGCTCACTTCTTTCTGTGGTGCTGGTAACTTCAGAGAGGAGCTTAGGCWCTGGCGTCGTGGCTGTCGTTGTGGTTTCCTCGGTGTACGGATCAGCTTGAGCCACAGATGAAGGAGCGATGCTGACGGGCAGGTAGTCATAATCCTCACTTTGCTCTTGGCTGATGCTCTCTTGCTCCAGGTGGGACGAATAGCTYCTGTACTTTTTTGGAGACTCTACTTGGGTGTTGTCTCCTTCTGGTGCCTCTTGGTCATAGCTGTACGGGTCATCATAGTGCCTCTCGGGTTCATTCTCCTCAGCATCCATGGGACTCGCAGTGTTTAAGGCAAGCGTGTTGCAGTCTGGAAGCTGGTAGCACATCAGCTCCCCRCCAGCATTTGGACAGTGGCAAACCTTACACGGAGGCATGTGGAACGTGTGGCCTGCTACATACTTCTGGCCTTCATGGAGACACCCTATCCTGCCACACTGTGGGCATCCATCAGCTGGCACCACGGCATCGATGCAGTTTGGGGGCAACTCTGGGCACAGCATGAACTGGCAGCTGATCTTGCCTCCACCCTTGGGGCACGAGCACTCAGTGCTCCCAAAGTCCACGAAGTAAGACTGCCCTTCAGGTACTTTGCCATTGACAAAGCCCACGTTGACACAGTCGTAGTACTGGTAGCCCTCGCACGTGCAGCCGTGCTGCAGACACGTGGCACAGCAGGCCCCGGGCTCCAGCACCTCCTCGATGCAGTTCTCCAGGGGCTGGCACTCGGCACCGGTGCAGTCCTTCTGGGCATGGGAACTGCCCGTCCAGAGCAGCACGAGGAGGACAGCACTCAAGCTGTTCAGCTGGGAGAGCTGGTGACCATCCATAGTCTTCCCAAGCAGATAGGGCTCTAGTCCAAAACTTGCACACCTAAGGGCTTTCGCTCCTTGAAGGCTGTAGATTCAGCTTCAAATCCAAGTTACCTTTTTTGATCCTAGAGTTATGAAAGAAAACTCTGTTAAAGACTATACATAGCACATATCCTGTTAAACATTCTTTAAGAATTGGGATGTAATCCAACATCTGGAGACCCAAGTACAAAATTAATCAYCACGTCTTCCAGGCATTGTAGGCACTAAGTTTGGAGTTGCATGCTTCCCTCCACCCCAACACCCATTTTTGAAAAGAAAGACAGACTGTGACTGTTCTTTTTAAAATCTCTTCACTATATAAAAATAAAAGGAAGGTCTTTACACTTCAGTGCCTTTTTGCTCACTATTCTTCCTTGCTAGAAAAAGATTTTTCTTTTTTGGGATAATAAAAAAATACACAGTTCTTCCTGTGAAGATACAAGTTTGGGATACTTAATCTTATATATAAGTTATTTAATCTGTATTGGGATATTTAATTACAAAGATCTGAATGCTGAAGAGCTTTTTTTGGCTGAAACTTCACCTTGACACTTTCAAATTTGTCTGTACACATCTTAACTCAAAATAAGAWTGGTTTTCTTCCACCTTTTTCCCCATTTAGCAATCTTTTACCTTTCAGCATTTGGCTGTAGTTTGCCTGTGTGCCTCAGTGATGCTAAAACAGGGTATCTTTGTACAATGTGGTTACTGTGTGGTTAAACATCCTATCAGTTATCCCGTAACATATATTAGAGGCCAGATCCTCAGCTTGTAGCAACTGGCACCGTTCCACAGAAGGATCCTAACTCAGAGAAGAATCAACCTCAAATGCACTAGAGCTACAACCAGTCACCAATGGGCATTTGCTCCTGCCGTGGGCCTGCCACCACTGYTAACCACATTTTAAGAGCACTAATATTGCTTTATAGTGATTTACTCTACCATGAACAGAATATAAAAAGATTTAAATTGACATAATTAATATTTGTTAAAATGTGCTGAGGAAAAGTTGTTTGTGTTTTAATTATTAAACCTTTTGACCAATGTAAAGTTTAAGAGTTAAAGCAAATCAGCTGYTCTCATATAAAAGCAGGCTCAAAGAACTACACATCGAATGTGGAAAAGAAGATAAAACAGAATAAAGTCTGCCTTTAGTTTTATAGAATCAGTAGCCTGATTATTTTTTCAGTACCCCTCCCATCACCAAAAAATAAAGACCCTAAAACATTTATCTACAGGGTGAAATGTGTTCACATCACGCAGAACAATGCACCACACACGAAACAGGAGCGCTGCCAGCGAGCCCATTCACAAAGATTACTTCTCCCATTCAACCCCAGCTTCCAGCAAGCCTGCTTAGGCGCTGCTGGAAAGGGGCCAGGCCGTGGGGAAAGCGTGCCTGTTCTGATAAGATATGAACACACTGTACTAAGTATTTCCTCAGTTCGGCACTGGAATTCGAATTACTTTAGTACGTTATATATCCTCAGTACATTATGATTCTCACTCAAATTAGTAGTAAAAAAACACATCTGTATGTGAACACATTTGTTCAGTGTGCTAAAAGATACCAGCTGAATGAAAAATAAAAGAAGGAAATACACTGATGACTTAGAAGAACCTCTTTTTTTCATAACTACTCTCAAAGCTAGGATATATATAGTACAAAGAAGAATTTTCAATACACAGTGCTGAAATAAATTCTTAAGAATCCAGCCTGGGAATTAATAATTCATCCTGCTGTCAGCAGCTTTCCCAGGTAATCTAAATTCATAATTTATCATGCAGCTGTAGCCTGGCAATAATGAATGGAAGGACAATTAAAAACAAGCTACTGCTGATGGGCTCTCCCGGCAGCCGGGGTGCGTGGCCGCGGGTCCCTCTCGCCGGAGTCTCCCGGCTGCGGCGCTGCCACGCACGGACGTCTCTCACAGCCAAGCGCGGTGGTGGCCCGGGCTCGGCCAGCTGCTCCCTGCTGTTCTCCAGCTACCTACCTCAAAGGGAGAAGGTCAAAATCCATATAAATTATTTTTCACCTAATAACACCAAAATCTTCCATACCAATAGGTTCTCTCTCTTTCATTAGCGGTTCCTTGCTTCTGGTGGAATAACTCCAGCAAAAGTATCTTTCAACTCTTTTTATTCCTGTAAACCATCATATTTTCCCCATGCTTTCTCCATCTGTTCTCCACAGACATTGCCCCTACCCAACTCAAACTTGCCAATCCGTGTCTGTTGCTACTTTAGCAAAAGAACAAAGCAGCTTTGAATGAAGACTGCAGACACAACCAAGTCCCGCTAAGAAAATGTGTCCCTCCAAAYGGAGCGTGCGTGACCAGCCCGGCCCTTGCAGCTCATGTCCAAGTGCCTCTGGACCCAAGCCCTTCCTGCATGGGGAAACAATGCTGCAAAGACAACAGCTTGTTTACATGTTAATGGCATCAAACCTGTCAAATAAAGCTGTCCATACCACCTGGGAGAAATGCGCCATCTCTAGAGGATGGGGGGCTTCACACCAGTATTATTGCAAAGACTTGTTTTTGTTAAGTATTTTAACTATTTCTTCAGGGTCTTTTCAAATATCTGTGACATTAATCAAGGACTTCACCTAAATGACAATCAGGTCTGTTTACTCCTAACTCTGTCCTTCAGCAAGTCTTATTAATTCCATTGACTTTTGCTACACAGTTGGGGGGGATGTCACAACAGATTAAGCCCTGCACAACTGAACGAAAGGACTTTCAAAGGCTCTGTTGAGAGTTTTCTGGAACTTTGCAGCAAGGTAACCCAAGTCTCACCCCAAGCCTTTTGCATTGCTTCATGACCCAGAAAGCTTCAATTTATGTCCTTCGTGGAATTTGCCAACCTGCCCTGCTGAAAATCCTGCTCTGGCTTGTATCAAGTGCTAAGCCTATTGGTTTTAGTGGGGTTGCACAGGGCCAAGGTAGCTGCTGTGAGCCCCATGCACAGAGTGCCCAGGAAGCAGGAGTGTCCCAGCAAGGGAAGGCCAGGGCTTCCAGTCAAGACTAAGATCTCAAAATCACAGTAAAACTGAGAGTTAAATCAGCATTACAAGTACAGGCACATATCTTCACAGAAAAGGAAATAAGAATGAAAGAATTTCACTGCAAACTCAACTGGTATCTGCATGGCAGGAGATCAAAAGCCAACAGCAGCAATCATCAAAACTGTAACCTGCACTGGCTGAAAAACACCACGTTCTTCTCTCCTGGTGGGGGACATGGGTGGAACAAAACAAGATTTCAAAAATGCTTATTTAGATTTAATTTGGAGCCAAAACGTTATAAATTCTGACATTTTTGCAAAACAGTATACTCAGAAACTTATTTACTTCAATCAAAGTCATAATAAAAAGTCAAAAAGAGAAATATTGACTTGATTAAAGCAGTTCAGCTATGTTACTTAAATGCTGATGAAAGCAGTGTGTTCGCACACGACATAGAGATGTTGGAAATGTGCGACTTCTTTAAACTAAGAGCAGTCTTTAACTGGGAAATTTCTTTCCAGATGGTTTCACTTCAGTCCTGAACTGGAAAGCTTATTCTATGGAACCAGAGGTGACAAGAGGTGCTTTCCCTCAAAGATTTCATGGAAACTGGCCTTTCCCTGTGAAAGCTGTCCCAGGCTTCGCAGAACAGCTACAGAAGGTGAGCACGTGTGGAAGAGACACGGCACGATCAAGAGCATTCTTTCAAATGTTCAGTGAAGAAAGAGACAGTCATTTATAAACAAAAAGCAATAAAATAGAATAAATGGATCCCAGCGTGGAGGACAGCACCTGCACAAGCTTCCCCTGAAGTCCAGCTTTGAAGTTTTATCAGCCACTGAAACAGCTGCAGATCCACGCACATAAACAGGCTTAGGTGCAAGTATTGTTTTCTCTGTTCTACCTCTCAGTTCCTCCCTAAATCTCCCTTTGCCAGGATAGTAAAAACAGAAGTGCTGGTTTGATATTGTCACCTTCTTCCAAGGAGCCTTTCATGGCAAGGCGCGAGCCCGGTGCAAAGGAGAGGGCAGCAGAGCCGCACGGTCGTCCCTGCACACGCCAGGCCGGGGAGCCTGGACGCTTGGGTCCCTCACTAACCTACCCTCACACCTCCTGAGCACCAAGAAACAGAGATGCTGCTGCCAGGAGCCCCGGGAGAGGAGCCGGGGCCCTCGGCACCGCGGCGAGGGGGCTCGGCCGCCCGCGGGGCCCTGCGAGGCCTGCCCCGCTCCCGCAGCTCGGCGGGCTGAACCTTAACGCAGCACGCGCTGAGCCAGGGCCTGCGTTTCAACACCTCTCCTCAGCCAGACCCTTCCGGGCAGCAGCTCTTAAATGGCAGTGGCCACAGCTTTGAACTGAGAGAGGAAAGAGGGAGAGGACGGAAGGAAGGATCAGTTTAAGAACAATCCCTTTTAAATGAGAGAGAAAATGGAAATTGGTGAGAGACTTTTCTTATACGCAGAACAGAAGCAGCCCGTAAGGCTGGCCCAGCCGTGCCAGCCCGGGATTAGCTCTTCCTCTCACACCCGCACAACCTGGAAACTTGCRTTCTCGCCCAGCGCTGGGAGGGAAAAGGCCTCCACAGTCCAGCTCTTTTCATGACAGTCAAAAACTCTGGGAAAAAGAGTAAAGCAAACTCCACAAAGGGGCATCCCTCTGCTCTGCAGCCCCACACACACAGGGAAAACCCCAGGATATGCGAGGCTCCCTCCCTTCCCGCATTACCCTCCACGATAGCATATTCCAGCCCTCTGCTCATTCCCACCGTTTCTCAGAGCCCACGTGTGCACAGGGCAGCTCCCCACTGTCCCCCAGCTAAACAGGAATGCACCACGGTGGCAAWCACTGCAGGTCTCACTCCCACTCACCTCCTTGATCCCCTCTCTCCATTTCTCCCTGCTTCAGTCAATCACAGCAAAGCTTTTAAAACTTCAGTCAACACAGAGGTTCAAGTTGGGGGGTTCTTTGTTTTCTTACTACAATGTCCTATTTCTCACTATGCCTGCCAGAACTTTGATTCTCTCAACCCTTAACAGTGAAG